AAAGTTAAATGTTCTAAAATAATCATTATGATCTGAAGCTGTATTTATATATCATTACTGAATATGACTATCGTAATAAAAAAATTACAAACATTTTGTAAAACAAACCTTGACGATTTAAAAGAGTGACGGAGAGTTTTTTGCCAGTTGTTCTCGTTCTACACACTTGATTTGTTGAGACCCGGCAAAACCACTATTTTTTTACTGTCTGAATGTTCATAAGTTACATGAATAACTATTGATTTTATTATGAGCTTGCCTTTATTATGTGCTCAGGTGTTAAATTAAGCGAAACCGCGGGTATTACAGTTAATATCATATCATGATAAAGAACAAAATATGCATAATCTTACATTCATAACCGAACAAAGTTCCAATTGATTTAACATTAAAATGAAAAAATAATATTTTTGTTATTAACCGCCGTTTTTAATTATTTTATCCTACTCTTAAAAAGAAAAAGCACAATTAAGGTTATTTGATAACCTTGCTAATAAAAGATTCCTCGTTAATTAAGCGTATAAAATAAATTGATTTTATTACCGGCAACCTATAAAAACATCAATAAAATGAATTTTAAATGAGACATTTAAGATTGCTAATACTTTTAACATTTTATATCCGACAAGTTGGGACTAATCTGGTTATTTAAAGGGCGTACAACTATTAAGATATCGTGTATCATATACGAATACAAATACAAAAGCATATTGCATTTGTATTCATATGTGACTTAACTTAACGATAGCTTCGTCATTTACTACGCGAATACTATTCGATAACACGATAGCTTTCGTTTACTTCCAAATTCTGCCATAGAGAACCCAAGGTTTCCATATACAATTATTTATAACAATTTGTAAATAAATCTAAAGAAATCCTATATAAAATTTGAACGCTTTAGTCTTAGAACGCTTCAATATTGTAATAAAATGCAAAGCATGGGTGTCCAAATTGCCGCTAAAGTGCAAGCTATAAACCTAAGTTGAATAAAGCATAAAAGAGACATTAATATAAGTCGGCCACACGCACAGCACTTGATGCACGACTTGGATTCAATTAAAATCTATCATCTTTATACATCGAGAGTAGAGTATAGGGAAAACATTTGAATATAATTTTAAGACATTTTAAATGTATGTAGAGATATATATTTGAAATAAAAGAGGAGGGAGGCATTACAATATTATCTGTTCTGTAATGGGTATTAAATATTCAAATTAAACATGCATGATACACTAACCCGCCAAAATGCTTCTCAAGATGGCGTCGGACCAGTTTCTGACGAACGCACGCGTAAACAAAGGTCAATTTTTATGTTTTAATTATCATTTTTTAATTACAGAAATACACATATGAATCTAAAGCCTATATATAATCTACGTTTGCGCACCGTTCACGCTCCACGTTCGCAAACGTATCCACTACGCGGAGCTGTTGCAAGTGCGCGGAGCGCAAGAGGTTCGCGAACATAGTGGATACCTGGCTTTAGATCTTAACAGTCTCCGAACTCTCCAAGCAAGAAACTAAACTCTAAGATTATTAGACAGGCGGAGACATATTATTTTTTTGGCACGGTACGTCATCGTCGATTCGATGACGATGATGATATTAATTTATCCCTTATGGGATAGGCAAAGGACTTTAGGCCATATAGCCCGGTCTTGTTCTTGGTAATAATTGGAGAATTTTGGTAGTTTTAAAGGCCGAAGCCACATCTTACGTAGTTAGGATTCCATCTTGGAATCTCGTCGATTCGACTAACCTGTGACAATTTGCATCATGTGACTGACGTATAAATATCAATAATTTTAGTCATAGATTTGGTGGTTAAGTAATTCTTATTTTAAAGCTATTTTACTTTAAACGACTATAAAAAGCCGTGTTTTATACGAATCACTCTCAATAACACTTTGTTTTTACTAATAATTACTACCTATTTATAGAAGTAGGAAGGTTCATGTATCTACAGTTACATTATACAAACATGTCTTATTTATTTTATAAAGGTTATTAATAAATATATCAGCCCTTCTACAATGTACATATCAGTAAGTACAGTTATATCTTTCCCTAAACATATTTTGACACAAAAGTGAGTGCTTTTGCTAAAACAACGTAAGGAGATTGCATTAGCTTTCATGAATAAGGAAAACATGAACATAGCAAACTGTCTATTTCAAATAGAATATCTTTTCATGCTATTACTGTATGACAATAAACAAATATTTACTTTTCTGTTTTATTAAAATTATCGTGACATTGTCGCAAATAAATGTTTACGACAGAACTTCATAAGTAGGGAAGACATAGCTGAATTTAAAACCATATTGCACTTTGCTATCTGTATAATAAGCTACAGGATTAAACAAGTAATCCTATCTACTTTTAGCTACCAAACGATGTATTTTAACCTGTCGACCGTAAGACATACAGACGGTGTTTCAGTTATGTACATAATCCACCTGTCATCCACGACCGCGGCATACATCACCGGCGGCGCGTCACCGCACTTCGCGTAATTGCCTCGCAAATTAATCCAACTAACATGTGACATTTGACTCGATCTGTAGCGCTAATGTGCCCAACGGTTTTAATTAAATTGTTATTTATGTTATTAGAAACGTCAAGTTTAACAGATTTTGGTGCTTCATAGATCTATACAATAGTTTTGTTGGTATTGGTTCCTGAATTAATGTAATATTACTTGAATTAAGAGAATGTTCACCACAGACCTATAATCTTACTATCTCTATAATTTATAATTTTAAAAAATATTTTGTTATTACATGTTTAAAGTTATGTTATTGTTGATTTAAATTTATATACATTTGTTCGTTAAATTCAAAAGTTCAAATCTGTACAACCTACCCTTGTTTTTAGTAGGTTTGTTAGTCTGAGTTAAGATGTTTTCAGGTACAAAAAAAAAAGAAAAAAAAATGATACAGAATAATTATAATTTCTACTATTCTACATCTATTTATTTAAACGATGCTCTTATGAAATATGTTCTTTCTAAATAATGTATTGTATTTCGTGATCTTTAATTAATTAATAATCGTAGTAGTTTAAGTAATTAAGTAGTATTAAAAACATGAGTGATATTTCGATAGTATTACAGGAAAATAATGTCAAAAATATTGAATTAAATTTACATCCGAAATTCCAATCACAAATCTAACGTGTGGTCACCCACATACCTTCGCATTACACAATACAATCCACTTGCAAACACGAGGATAATTATTATTGATTGCGCATTAGCGACTGAGATGGAAGATAAGCGTGTGCGAGCGGGACAGTGGTTATGTGTAACATGTCAAAGCTGCGCTAATTGTCCACTAGTGTTGTGATTTCTATCGACAACAATGCCCAGATACAAATTAAGTTTATGAATTTTTGTTTTATGTGTATTTATATTTTAAACAGGCCGGAAATGCACGCCACAGACATTGAGAGCGTCCATGGGTGGTATCACTTAACATCAGGTTTAAGGGTTTCCCGTTCTATGAAAAAACATTGATACAGATTAAGCAAAATATATTAGTAAAACTGGAAGCGTTCGAGTTCTGGGTTTATTGACGTATGCTTAAATATGTTGGACAGACCGCATATTTACTCTCAAAGAAAGGCTTGATGACTGCTTCAGCTCAAATCCAATATATTAATACATATAATGCTACAATCGGTCATATTATTAGACAATATCGTTTGATACAACGCACAGAGATCACGTTTATAAACAACAATAATTCCTTTTTGATAATACTTCAATACACGGCCCCTTAGGCGAAATTATTGCTGCGCAGAATAAGCTCTTACATCAGCATATTAAGCTTTGTTATTCGATAAACTATTTTAACAAATAAAAGATGTTACCTCTCTTTACATATACGTCTGATTATTATTTTCCTACCCTTGTTTTGCTCTTACAAAAGGAAATATTATTGAAATCGTAAATGCAGTTTTCAGATTGTTTAACTTTATTTATGTATACAAATATGTTTTGATGTATGGTAAAGGTAAAAAGATTTAATTTATTTTAATATGGTGATAATAGCTTAATAGTGAAAATAGATAATAGCTGCACGATTAACTTCGATTCTTTTTAATTATGTTGTAAAATTGAAAATTAATTGAATGATTGATAAATTACAATATATTTAGATAAATTTGCTGGTATCATTACCTATGGAACTTTAAGGAAGTAGATTATTAAGTGAATGCTAGAGTATTAGGTAGGAATTTATATCACCTTATCGTAGGTTCAATCCCGGCTGTGAAGCAATGGATTTTTTGTATGTTTGGATTTAACACTCACTAGTACTGTGAAAGAAAACTTCATGGCTTTGACTCAAAAAATCGGCGTGTGTCAGTCTGATCACCTACTTGCCTATTAGAAATGATTACGGAACCGATACAGAAATCTGAGCCCTAGACCTAAAAGGTATGTACATCGCCTAGACGTTGTCTATTATAGTAAGACATGAAACAAATTAACGTGCCAATAACAACCGCCAATTGTTAATTCTAAAAGTAACTTGGCAATGTTATTAGCAATTGGGTTACAATAAAGAACAGCTGCATCATAAGACCAGCGAGCAATCAATATCACTGCCTATTCGCACAGTACACGATCCTATTAGTGGAGGATACTTTAGTGATGGGATAATGTCGATAACCGATTAAAGGATTAGAAAACTTTATTTCGTTGAATCGTAAAAATAGAGATAATTAATATTTTACATAATAAAATATGTTTCAAAATAGCTTTATCTTCTAGTTCAGCGTAAGTGTATGCTATTAATGAGTAACTTACGAAAAATGCTAACAATTAAAAATCATATACGAAGTATAAAATGTTGATTTATTGTGTAAACATGACTGTGTACGTGCTAGCAACTGTTTACTTTATTAACCGACTAACTAATCAATTATTTCAATTGCTTATTTTAATTAAATACTATAAAATCCCTATCGTTTACATAAACTTTAACATTTAAAATGCTTTATTAAATGGCTTAATTATCCGATGAAGTGTTTTAATTACAACTGCAACAATTAATGATTACACTGATTGATATTATAATACTCATATGTAACTTTGTATGTAATTTTTAATTGTAGTCAATACTACTATACGATAATTTTAATAATTTCAATAAATTATTAAAATTATCGACCCTTATGCGATGATTAGTACAACCCTACACTTATCTCGCTCGACGGGTCGGCTAAGTCTCGTTAATCTAACAATTATTCAGAGAAGATCGTGGAGGCCAGTTAGGATCTAAATGTTGTGTTTTATAGCAACTCAACTTAACTTATTATATTATGTATTTACAACCCACAAATATACAGTATTAACAATATTTTTATCCTACATAGTAATAATAATAATTATTAAAAATCGATAAATAGAAAATTAAAACAGATTTTAAAAAATTGGTCCCTGTGGCACTGTGGCAGTGTACCTTTAACGCTGGCAACATTTCCTCGCTGTATTGCGTGACTTATTCGTTGAGCCAGGAAAGTGCCAGCTCTGGGGTCACCGGTACTATCTAACAGGCGCCAACTTAAATCTTTAATAAGCGCCTGTACACTTGAACCCCACGGCCCAAGAGTCTCTACTCCAAAGGGAACAAATTCAAAGTTGGAGGAAAGACTCTTATATTTGAGCCGTTTATTTTCCGCTTAATCATTTATTTTGCAAATTGCCCTATAATTTCTTAATGTACTTCATAGTTTAAAACAAGGTACATACCGGTGTCTATTAGCTGAGACCTTCATACTAAGCAACGGAGTATTAAAAAATATAATAAATCAGTGGCGCTACAACCTTTTTAGGTCTGGGCCTCATATTTCTGTGTCAGTTTCATGATCATTTGTTAATCTAATAGGCAAGTAGGTGATCAGCCTCCTGTGCCTTACGCACGCCGTCAACTTTTGGGTCTAAAGCAAGCCGGTTTCCTCACGATGTTTTCCTTCACCGTTCGAGCGAATGTTAAATGCACATAGAAGAAAGTCCATTGGTGCACCGGGGATCGCACCTACGACCTCAGGGATGAGAGTCGCACGCTGAAGCCACTAGGCCAACACTGCCCAAATCAAAATAGTAATATGTATTATGTATATAAATTACGCTAGTAAGAAACCTTCACGGTAAGAGTATTAACTCAATAATTAAAAATACCACGCGTGTTTCTCGTTTTATTTAATAAAAATCTGACGTCAAATATAATATAAAAGAATTTCCCAGATTGCATTCCATAGGCTTGTATGAGATATGCAATCTGGGAAATACACTGGAATAATTGTAATTAGACGTACAGCCCTACCTATGAAGATCGATACTAAATTAGTATGTACATAATTATTGAGTTGATTAACTGTAAGAGGCGTGACATATGATCAAAGGCTTAGCTAAACTGTTTAATATATAGCAATAATTGTATTCATTAATGGTATTAATTATGCCAAGATTCAGGTCTAAAAGACAATTATAATAATAGCTAAATATCGGCTAATGTTATTTTATGAAATAACAGTTTCATTAGGTTATAACTGCGATTTTTAAAAACTTTATGATTCGCGATATTTTGATTTTTCATTTATCTTTCAAATACATTTATCTTATTAAAGATCCCTCCATCTGGACGCTTTCGCAGTAGCGTTCATTCAGATGACTGCAAATATTCTTTACACTATATAGTTGAGTTGATCACACAAAGAGCTAAGAACACAGATAACCGTACCTAATCCCCTAAGAATCTTTGAATAATGACTAACTATCATGACACCTGGAGGTGTCAAAAGTTCTACACAGATTAGCAAATCCAGGCCGTGTCATAATGACAACCACAGAAATCAATACCTAATTAAAAGCAAATAGCAAAAACGTATATTTTAAAACAAATTGTCGATATTGCGGCGCCGGCACAAAGGCTTTGTATTAAATATTGATATTTTAGGCATTCCAGCTTAATGATCTGATCATTATTTTAAACCGCTGTTATTGGAGCCAGAAATCATTACATTTTGAAATACTCTGTAGTCAGTTGCAACATTATCGCTGTACCTAAGCTGTAATTATGGTTACATGTGTATAATCCTGGATTATGCTTCTATTTTTAAAAGATTTACAAAAAATAAGATTATTACGAATATAAAATATATTAATTTCGCTTTTATTCGTACATGATTTTGTTAATCATAGTCCCCTTAGCCAAGAAAATCTGAAACTTATTCGGCCATATTTGTAATACATTCTTAAAATGCGGCACCACTTATTTCCAAACATATTTCCTTTTACCTTTAATTGAGCTTAAATTAAGCAATCACCCTCTAAAGGTTTCGATGTTAAATATTTATCTGATCAGTCTGATTCAAAGTTTCGAACTTAATTAAGTTTCTATAAGACCATCGTAAGATTATTGTATAAACTGCGAATAGTATAAGTGAAATGTTAGTCTAATTTATTTATTTATTTAT